CTCAATTTCTCTGTACCTTTTTGTCTATTGATATCATTATCGAAGTAATGTGTATTTCCCATTCCGGAATAAGGCGTTTTCTGAAACTTTGTTTTATGTCTAAGATTTTTCAAGTGAAAACTTCTTTAGGTGCGTTGGACGATTATGGATGAGGAAAAACTCTTAGTTTTACGTCAGATTTCTCTCATTTAAAAGCAAAGCGATTCCTGCAGAGAGTCGCGTGTGAGCGCGAGAGAATTAAAAGGTGGTGAGGGGAGCAGGAGGAGAGGGGGAACCAGCTCTGTATTGGCCGGTGGTAGACACCACACTCCGCCACGCCGACAAAAGCTAAGTACTCACTCCTTATCTACTATCGCTCCTTATCTACTTATGCACTATCGGCAGCCATTGCGCAGTGCCCATAGTGCGCATTTAAATTTCTTTCTAATACTGACAAATGTGACCACAAGACAACTGTTAATAGTTTTTAATTAAATTATGCTTTATAATATCTTACCTTATACTAAAATTATTTTAACTTATAAAGGTATAATTTGATATGTAATTGCATGTTTAATTAAATTACTCTTTTTCTTAAACAAATGTATCAGTAGTCATTGACAATTATTCTCCAAATTATTTAATAGCCTTCCCAGAAAACTCAATTATTTAGAACAAAAAAATAAAAACAATATTTTCTTTTACGTAAGTATTTAGTGTTTTTGCTTGGAAATTCCGTAATCGTAAAATCAATATTTTTTCACATGAATTTCGCACGGGAGTTTCTTTTGTTTCAAATTCAACTTTTTCCAGTGAAACAATAAATATTATGAACAACTTTTTGGCTTACCGATGGTTAATCGTTGTAGTTTGATACTGTGTAATCTTCTTATACGTGTACTTGAAATGTTATGCTTAGAGAAGTTATGTTTTGATGTTATACTGTATAAACACTTCGTGAATGATATCTTCCTATGTGTACCTACTAAGTATATAAACTACACAAAAAACATTCTCATTAGCTATTGTCCTAAATTTCAATTCACTGTTGGGACATGTAATAGTAATAGCAGAAGTTTTCTAAATTTAGAAATTATTATTTGAGTAAATAATACAGTACTAACCAATTTGTGTATTTACTGAAGCAGAAAAAGCTTATGTCACCGTTGTCATTAACGAACACATTTACAATAATGAAGTAGAAGAACTGTTAAGTAATGATCAATTTTACTTGACGATAAGAAATAATCTTTTGAACCAACTAATTAGAGATGCTTAAAGTTCCACAAGAAAGTGGAATAAAGACGATATTTTTAATAAAGTAAATAAGATTGATAAAGGTGTACATAGAAAAAAATTATTTTAGTGCTACGGACTGTTAAAATTACACAAAAAAGACATTCGTATCTGTTTTATTGTCTTAACACTTAATTAACCATTTTATAGTATTTCCTAATTTTAATTCTTAAATGATTTTCTATTAATAATATTCCGTTGGTAGAGTCAGACCTAAAAAATAGTTAGGAATTAAAAAATATATTAGAAATTGTTATAATTTTACTTAGTTACACACTAATTAGTCCAGATGTACTAAGTTTATTTAATGATACTAGCCTTAATTGTAAAGGCTGTACAATTTTGGATATCCTTAAATCATTAAACCAATGTCTTTTCACATGAATTTTACGCCAGTGCTCCCTTTTTTTTAAATTTGACTTTTTTCAGGTATACAATAAATATTGAAAACAAGTTTTTAGCTCACCGACGGAAAGTCCTGGTAGTCTGATACTGTATGATCTTCTTATGCGTTTACTTAAAATATCATGCTTAAAAAAATTTTTTTTTGTTGATCTACTGTGTAAATGTTCTGTAAATAGAATTATCATGCGTATTTTCCCTAAATAAATTAACTACCATTCAAACGTTTTCAATAGCTACTGTCCTAAATTCCGATTTACTATTGAGGCATGTAATAGTAACATCATAAGTTTTTTAAATTTAGTAATCATTATTTGAGTAAGTAGTACTTAATAATTCAAACTAAAAACCCACACACACTAACCAATGCTTGAATCTTCTCTCCCATTCAGATACATAACATAAAATAGATATTATTTACACACTAGTAGACTTTAAATAGAACAATTGAAATAGAAATGATAGTAATTTAAAATTTATTTCATCTTAACTGTATATTTCCTACTTGCACACTTATAATAAATGCTATAGTATAATGCTTCTTATTTGTCTCGTGTACAGTTTAAATAATAATTGAAATACAATTTTTTCTATTGGAAAGTATGTAAATGATCCACTTCATAAAAAAAAAACGTTATTTACCGCATAATGTGTAAATTACAACTACTGTTATGTCGGTTCAACATCGAGAGCTTTTGAATTAGGAATGGCAAAACACAGAAGAGACATAATAAAATATAAGACCTGTATAATATTATAACATACCATGAAATTAAGACAGAACTGTAATTTTGATAAAATAAAGAATTTTGGACATAAAAAAAAGTGTTAGAAAACGCGTTTTTTCGAAATGATAAATAAACATTAGTTCGACAATGATATAAGCAGAAAAGAAGATACAGATGAATAAAAACAATTGTTATGAGTGTCTTATTTGGTTCATTAGAAAAGAGAATTTACTTGATGTACATAATTTGCGGAGCCTCTTTTGTTTATAGTATTAGGTACACGTGTACTGTTCATGTGCTTTTTACAATGATCTGCTTGCATTTTTATTGCCTTGGATCCGTATCTCTCCTTTTGGCTCGTAGTCTGTGGCACCAAGAATACACATCAAGCAATGTATGAAAAATATATATATGTAGCGAATATATATGTTATAATTGGACTTGGTAGCCTCCGATGACTTGATCAAAAATATATATATATAGTGACGTCATAGATTTAGCTTCTACATTATACCCTTTTCTTCTTGTCCCAGCCACTTCGGTCATCTTTAACCTGTAAATCTTGTTGTCCTGGAGGCATACAGCAGCTGCTAGCCTCGAACATACACTTACTTTTCTTTCTTAACACACTTTTTTGCTATACTCTACATACCTCCTTAAAGCTATTTTTCTCTCTCTCTTACTCCTTTTATCTATACTCTTTCTATCACGCGTCCCAAAACGATTCGCACAAATCACTGGAACTCTCACTGTTTGTACTTAGGCATCCAGGTCGATACTAATGCCCCAAGAGAGCTTTAACTTTTGTTATACTTACCACCTCTGCTGCTGACGTGTAACTGTCCTAGCAGCCACTTTTAACCCAGTAGCAATTTTTGATCCTGATAGTCATTTACGCATTTTCTCGTCCTTTCTTGCTAGCAGTACTCTTTGGTCCAGCTGGTTGTCTGTTAGCGTTTTTTTTCCTTCTTTCAGCGTAAATACAGCTCCCAAATATAAATAATTATAAAGAATCATAAATTTTAGCGCTACGCTTATACATTGAATCAGTGAGAGCATTTTGGATCGTGGAGACCATGTTACATCGTTAGAAGCTTATATGATTATTATCTTGCAACACCAATATTGTACACAATTCCACATTAAGTTGCATGGAAATGTTAAATCTAAAATTTGATTGCTTGTAGAACAAGGCTACGAGTCTCATCCTTCATGTAGGAATGTCGACGTAACATATTTATCCAAAATTGGTTGATAACTGTTTGTTAAGGCATTAAATAATATTTAAATAGAAAACTATTATTTTAATGCGTCCGTATGGAAAATGTAAGTATTTGCACAAATTTTATGTTTTATGATGATTTTCGCTCTTTTTTGCCGTAGTCTGTATCCTCCTTTTAAAATCCAAATACTCAAATAAAAAAATGGAGCATGTGTAAGATTTTCATTACGTATTGTGCAATTTTTATCTGAAAAAATGAAGGTTTCTTAATTTGTCCCTAAAGTGTTTGTATTACTTAATCATTCACAAATTTTGTTTGTTGGTCATTTAGATAATACTGCATACACTAAAATTAAGATAATTATGTTTTCTACTAAAGTGAATTTTTTGTTTTAATGTGGCATGAATAATATTTATGTTGACAAAACATTTTTTTTTTGGTCAAATGATAAGTTATAATTATTTAAGCTTATCAACCATTGAAAACTGGATGTTTGTCAACTGAGAAGTCAGGCTTTATGACGGGCCGCAGAACTAGCAGCTTAATGTGCAGCTATTTAGTTATTTACTTGCTAAGAAAAATAAAAAAGAGTCAAACTATGCGCGTATAAAGATATGAAGGGATAACGAGTTGGTTTACCTTATTTTTTTTGCTTTTTTTATCATGAGAATTTCTAAATTTAATTACTAATTTGTTAGGTGCACTTTTGTGACTTTTTAAAAGAGTTCAACCATGATTTTCTTTACCTTTATTTAGCAACCACGACATTTATACTTATATTTATGAGAGTGGTATAAAACTACGTATAATAAATTGACAAACGTTGTACTTGACAAAATTAATCAACTAGCACACACTTTAACAGTGGTGAAAAGCTACTTACTTAAACGGCGAGCAAATAAATGAATCGTCTACGAAATTTTAGCTTCTTTATCTTACTTATGGAACCGATACTTGCTGACTCGATGTGTTTAAGCTTTGCAGCTCACTTCGGTTGTCACTTGTCACTTCAGAGAGTCACAAAGTACACGGTCAGCTTTATTAATCAACAGCTTACGTTTAAGTCAATATTGTCTATGGTTTGTATGTTTTTACATTAGTCTGTCACCAATTATTTAAAAATGTTTTGTGGTTCCTGTGATATTATATAATTAGCAGTTTTTTAAGTGAAAATGCTTATTAAAAGCATTAATCCTCAAACTATAAAATAAATACTATATTATTACAACATAAAAAATCTATTTTTTTAATACAAGAATTTCATTTCATATAAAGATTGTACTATTTACACGCTTTTTGTTATTTAAAAGAGGTTAAGAAATTATTTTAACAAAAAAAAAAATAAGTTTTGAGCAAAATCTATTTACAGTACCGTACAGTTTCCAGGAAACAATAGGTGCCACACTAATACCACAATGGAAAATGTTCTGATTGGGATGAGCCAGTACATGTGCAGCTATAAATCCACCGTAACTCCATCCCCAAATAGCCACTCGACGTTTATCCACGAAATGAAGTGAATCTCGCAAGTATCTGAAATTTATTGATCAAGCTATAAGCTTTTTTAAAATCTTGTGTTTTGCTTTTAAATATAGTTTATAGAATTTTCATTTATTTAATGGTTAACTGAAAAAGATTTTTATGGCAAATAATTCCTCTGCTTACGTAAAGTGAAAATAGTACTAAAAAACAAATGCTAAAATATCCGTAAAATCTTATTGCTTCTCCTTTACACGGCTAAGAAGTTGACTTATGCTTCTACTACGGTACATAAAACCCATCAATTGTACTGACAATCAAGTATTTCAAAGCAAATTTACTTCTCTACATAAAATGTTAGCAAATCAACATGATACGTTTAAATATTAACGTGATGTAATAGAGGGAAGTAGTTTTTTGTGGACACATTTGAAATTATCTATAACCACTTTGTTTTTTGATAAAAATTATTAAATATATATTACTTAAATAAAACATTGCTTCATTCACTAGTTAATCGCCATGGGCTAAGAAAACTTTTCTGATTAACTAAGCAAATAATAAGCTGAAAAAAAACAAACATATTCAAAAGTAGTTTATCAGTCATAGCCTTATGCAGGTCAAGTTGTCACTGTATCCATCAAAGATATTTAGGGGCTGCAAATCAACTCCTCTATTAAATTTTATAAATTGCATATTAAGTTTTTAGTATATTTCAACCAATACATTTATATATTTCTAAAAAATCAAGGGACAACAAGATATAGCTCAAAAATATATTGCTAATAAACGCAAAGTAAAGCAAAACTTATAAACAGGGTATATCCAAATTAATCTCATAAAAGAATTGGGTGTGATTGAGCTCGTTGCGATGAACAAAAAGCTCATTGCACATTTCCGGTTGAATGCATTATTTGAACATCATTACGAATAAACAGTTAACGAAGTCAACCAATCAACAAAAGCTATGCTATGTAAAGGCGTGATCTTAATAAGTAGGAAGAAAAGAGAGGTAAGTAGTAGAAGCAGGCAAAAAAGTTAGACTTATTTTTAGTAGAATAATAATATTAATGAAACCACAACAGCAGTCGAGACATCAGGTATTTTACCTGAGTAGGGTAACAAGGCAGACTTCTTAAAATAAAACAATACTGCGGTTGACAATAAACTGATCGTACTAGTAAGCGTGCAGTTATTTTTTTTCAAATAGGTGCTAAGTTCTTACTTTTTTCTAAAAACAAGATCAACTATTTAACAAGATGGTACGAAAATAAAAGTAGTAAGTTATTTAAATGTTATGTTTTAAAACTTCGTAAGCTTTTGTTAGCGTGGTGAACAAGCATTCGTGGTACTTTGTAACTAATTATTAAACTTACAGTATGTAAATGATCAAACATAAGTGTTAAGTATTTGAAAAATTTTGTATACAATATCATGAATTATTAACAAACAGGCGATGAAACTTTAATGTTGACAATCTTAATTTGGAAAAAAAACTATTTCACTTAGTATAAAAATCAGGTGGTTGATTGTCGTTGGTAAATAACTTTCATAGTTGGTAATTTAATTAAATCAGCTGATAATAAAGCTGCGAAAAAGTATCACTGCAAAGTAATTCTACCGTTTTTTGCGTACAAGCATCTGAATTAACTTTTTTTTCTATATTATAAGCCATTAATAAGACACAATGGAGCATAAATGCTAAGTAACGCTCATTTGTTTAATCATGTTAAATAATTACAGGTGAAAATGTAACAAAGCACTCAGTCATATTAGTAATTTTGTTAATCTTTCTTAAGTCATGAATATATAAATGAATAACCATTTAACATCGACATTACCAAATTTTACAGTTTTCACAAGAAATTTTTTCTTTTTGAAGTAAAACTTCTCTAGGCACGCCTTGTATTGGAATTGAACCCGTTAAACGAGTAAGTAATTGAGCAAGCAAACGCTGCTGTGCACATATGTATCTAAAAATATAATTTGTAAGTATACCAGCTGCACCACAGGCAAGGAATCTTGTTTTGTCTGTCTCTCTTTCTCTGTCTTCCTCCCTCCCGCATGCGTACAATAGTGCACCGCAATTACTCTATCAATTATGCGAGGCATTTTATATCAACTGTCCTGGCGTGATCCGCGAGTACCAAAACATGTACTCTTTAACTCGCGATTGAGATATTATAAATAACTGAGATTAAATAATGAAAACATAGGATCAACGTGTTTTTTCTCAGCTTTATGGTGATGCAATCAGTTTTTTGAAAAAATGACGATTCAACCTATAAAAAACACAAAATGTGTTATATCTCAAAAACGGCATTTTTAATATTTTTTTAACCATCGCCAATCAAAAGAGCAGGACTTTTTACGTCAGTATGGCAATTTCCAGAGAGTATTTTTTTATTTTAGATAAACATTAAATGACAAAGTTAAGTGCAACGACACAGCGGCAGCAGCTGCTCGACTCGCGTGATGGTATGCTATATATATATCGCCAAGCGAACATGGTTAGGTTGCGCTGTTTTGATTCGACGTTGCTACCATCCGGGGCATTTTTTATTTATTATTGTATTTTAAAATAATCATTTTTCTTAAGTTAGATCGTTTCTACATAAATTTGAATTTTGAAATATCGCGCGCAGCTCCAACTTCCAACTTAGTACTTGATAGTACCACCTATCGCTCGCCAGATGGCTACCACTTGTTTTTAGTAAAAATCGCAAGTAAGAAAGCGACGTAAAGTATATAAGACGGACTGTGTGACGACTGATTGATATCAATCCGAGATATACAAATACGTGTAATGCATAACTCCTAGCCACTCAATTGATTAAGTACATATTTAATAAACATCACTCTACCAATATAAGACCTTTGTATACACCTTCTTTCCCCTCAAACCTTTTCTTAAGTCCTACCTTTGGATTTGCGTGCTCATGACCTCCCCCCCCTTTAACTCAGGAGTGGAGACAGTTGACCCCAGGCCAACAGATAGACAATTGTATCACCCAGGGATAGGCGGTAGTCACCTCCATAGAATTCTAACCAAGGAAGGCTACTCAGGACGTGGCTATCCAATTTCCTGAAGATTTTTTCGAAGGTATAACCCAACCTTCCATCGGTCACACTAGAGGTGATCCCACTCAGAGGGTACGGACCACCCCTTTAAAACAAAGTACCCCGACGACCACCTCCACCTACTACACCCTCTCCTGCTACGAGCCCCAAGGTGTCGGAGACTCCCAAGCCACTCATCCGGAGTGTAGTCCAGGTTTCAAATTTACAAATTGAAATCTCAAAATTCTGATTCCCATCCTAAGAACAAAAAAGAAAAAATTGAAGCAACTTGCAATGAAAGCTATCATAAAGCTAGTGTCGCCATCTTTGATGAAATCAAAGAAAAGTTCACTCTTTCAAGTAGTAGAGATGAAAGAAATTTGTTATTTACTCTGTCTTCGAAATTCTGGAGCCATAACGACATGATTAGAGAATTTAATTGAACAGAACGAGAAGCAAGGCAAGCTACAACTTTATTATCTGAAAACGGCATATTACCAGCTCCCAAAAAAAAAACGAGGCAAAGCACCTCTCGAAACGGAAAATTTAGTTAAAAATTTTTATGTACGTGATGATGTAAGTTGACTTATGCCTGGCTTCAAGGATTTTATTTCGATGAGACAAGAAGATGGTAAAAGGATTAACGTACTCAAAAAATAGTACTTGGCAATTTAAATGATTTATTTCTACAGTTTAAAAAAGAACACGAAAATATAAAGAACGGCTTACTTTGCTTCGACCCGTCTATTGCATTCTAGCTGGAAGCAATGTAACGCATACGGTTTGTGTTTGCGTACACCATGAAAATGTTAAATGGATGTTGGAAGGGGCTGACGTATCCGAATTAACAGAACTTAGAAAATTACGATTAAACAACTACCATGATTGCATTGCAGCCTTAGTATGCGATAATCCGTCAGATGAATGCTACACGGGAGACTGTCTTGATTGCCCCAATACAGCTCAATTGAAAAATCATTTAATTCAAGTATTTAATGACAACGATGTTTGTGAAGTGAAATTCCACAACTTGTTTCAAACTGATAGGTGTAATATAGCTATCAGTTTGAAACAATTACACAATCATCACAAACGCTAAATTCTCACAAATTCACTGCTTTACTCTGTGAAAAGTTAATGAAGTTGAAAACCCATGATCATTTCTCGAAAAAATAATCACAGTATTTTCAAAACCTTAAAAGGAACTTGGAAGATGGCCAATTTATCGTGTGTTGTGATTTTGCGGAGAACTGCGCGTTCGTTGTCCAAAACTCGGCCGAATCTAGTGCTAATAATTAAAGGGCTGCGTGATTAAAAATTAAAATCAAGTATTAATATTTAACTTGGGAAGCAGAAAGGCTCGCTCTTGCCCTCTTTTATTTTTACCAAGCTATGAAAGATAATCATAATAGGTATTAATTCATTGTTTAAAACTAAATAGTCAAAAAATGACCTTTCTGATTGCCTAGTCTTGCTTGCAGCCTACTAAATAAATACCTTAACCAGGTCTGGGCCTTGAGATCCCTGGCAGAAGTGAAACTTCCAACTTAAATGTTATTAAACTTGGTATAATGAAAGCTTAGAAAATAAGAGTACACCTAATTTTAATAGATTTTCAACAATCCCATCTAAAATAGTAAAAATTTTAATATAACTACGTATTCAAGCATACGCGTGCATAGAATTCAAATACCTTAATATACTACTTATGTTATGATTCGCGCTTCTTAAGTATATCCATGTTTGCTATGATGTATGTAATTCATGTACAAATTGTTGATCATGTAATGCACAATGGGAAAAAATTTTCAGTATACTGCGCCAAAAGTAGGTACTTTTGTCCTATTACGCGAGACGAAAAGTTCTTTTACTTAAAACTAATATTTGTGCCTCTGATATGACATCATATGTGTACAATAAATTCTTGTTAAAATGTTTTGTATTCAACAAATTCAAATTTTTCTAAATTTTGGCTACCATAAAAGTTA